GAAACTGCTCACCTCTGGCTCTGGGCGATAAGGAGGTGGGAGCTGAGTGGGGGTAGGGGGTGGAGGAACAGACAGGAAGAGTGGTCCTGAAGCTGTTGCCATGGAGACTGGGCAGGCAGGAAAGGGACGCAGTTGTCCTAGGCCCACAGTCCACTAGAAAGAGCTGATGCCACCTTTGGCATGAATGTTTTGGGCCATCAGCTTCTGAGTTTCAGAAACTGGATGGGCTTCCCAGGTGGCACTAGTGGTAAAGAACCTGCCTGCCAATGCAGGAGACATTCAATCCCTGGGTTTGGAAGATCTTTTGGAGCAGGGCATGGCAACCCACTCCAGTGTTCTTGCCTGGAGAACCCCATGGACAGAGGAGCCTGGTGAGCTGCAGTCCACAGGATCGCAAAGTCAGACACGACTGAGCGGCTAGGCACACATGCAAGATACGACGTATCACCCTGTACTTTTGCAGAGATCGGGAAACTAGGCCGAAGGGCCAAACATGGTCTGCGGCCTGTTTTTGTAAATAAAGTTTTGCTGGAACATAGCCAGGCCTATTTATTTACATATTGTCTATGGCTCCTTTCATGCAACAACGGCCGAGTTGAGTAGCTGTAACAGAAACCATACGGCCTCTGAAGCCTAAAATATTTACTGTCTCCTCTTTACAGAATCAATGTGCCAACTCCTGTCCGAGTGTAATCAGTGGAGGTTCCAAGTACTGGCTAGGTCTTAACCTAAGTCTTGAAGGAAAGAGGCAGTGTTTACTTGTGTACAAGGGAACAGGGAACTTCTGAAAGAACATTACAAGAAAGAATACTAGGATCATAACCGACGTTACTGGACTGTGTGACTGTGTGAAAAGTCACCATAATACGTTAATGACAGTACGAAACAATAAGTAAGCATATACACTGCTTACGATGTGCCAAGTGCATGCTTCATAGTAACTCATTTTATATTCACAACAGTATTACAAGGTGGTGATCTTATTATCTCCGTTTTTCCCACTGAGAAAAGAGAGAGACAGAGAGAATTAAAGATGCTTGCCCAAAGTCACAAAACTAGAAAGCAACCTAGCTAGGAGTCAAATCCTGGTCTTCTCACTTTAGATCCCATGCTCTTTGAAAGCTACAAGTATGCAAATATAAAATGTGATGAAGGTCAAAACTTCACACAAATTCTAGCTACGAGCAATGGAATTGTTTCTTAAAGACAGGTGAAAAATCAGCTTTACAACTTTATACTGTTACACCTCCTCAGCTAACTACACCACATGTTCATTTTATGTACTCTTGGTCCCCTGTAAAAATTTTATGCACCCTTTGTCCCCTGTAAAAATTTGCCAATGCTTAGCTGGAAATCCCCTAAACGGGACATCCCTGTGGGACAGCTAGTGGTTATGTTGCCACGGTGATGCCAAGTCAACACACAGCCTCTGGCCATTCCCAGAGGTAGCCCATGGCCTGTTCATCACCTTCTGAGGCCAATTCTGCCACTTGGCCCCTTGGGAGACAGAGGTTCTCTCCCCCGAAACAATAGTCAATAAGGTTACTCTGGTCACGACAGGCAGGAGTCATGTGGCTACTCCTTCTTAAAGATATAAATTGGGTTCTGTTTGGGAATCCTACTTTACAGCAAGGGCTTCCAGTCTAGAGCTGCGATCCTTGATCTCCAGGCAAAGGGTGGGCCCACTCTTACAGGTCAGCTGGGGGCCCCTGGGGTCTGCCTGCTGGGAGCCCGAAACGGCACCAGGCAGGGGGCCTGTTATAAACGACCAAACTGTGGCTTGTTTGAGAAGCTGTTTCTTAACTCATTACCTTATTATTACAAGGGAGAGAGTCCTAATAGTCTTCAGTAATATAAACTCTATCAGACTGACAGAGCTGACACCGATAAACGTCTTTTAGAAGGCATTTTGGCAATTTGTTTAAGCCTTAAACCTGGAGAAGGAAATGGAAACCCACTCCAGTGCTCTTGCCTGGAAAATCCCATGGACGGGAAACCTGGTAGGCTGCAGTCCATGGGGTCGCAAAGAGTCGGACACGACTGAGCGATCTCACTTATACTTTCTTTCACTTTAAGCCTTAAAAATGTACAGAGCCATTGACCTAGAAATTCCACCTCTACTAATTTATCCTAAGTAAATTATCAGAGATAAACAAGAATGCTATTTACCAAAGCATTATTTATAGTAGAGAAACACCGGGAATACCTCAGTTGTACAATAGGGGATTCATTAGATAAATTGTGATGTACCATAAACCACTACATTAACAGTATAGCCTTATAAACTATGCAGTTGTTTACATTTTGGTCATGAAAGATTATTAAATTTAAAAAGAAAGTCAAAACCAGTGTACAATAACCAGTGTACAATATAAAATTCTATTCTGGTGAAAAAAAAAAAATAAAAAAAATAACAATGTGAAAAAAAAAAAAAATAAAAAAAATAACAATGTGCATATAACTAATAGAAAAACAGGTTTAACAGGGGTTTCTCGCCCAGGGTAGAACACTGGTTATTTTAATGTTCTATTTTTTTTTTATACAATAAACTCTGCACTGTACTGGTCATTTTTTAAATGAAAACAAAAGTTATATTTCATTTTTTAAAGTTGTATATTTTTTCTTTGGTGGTTACATCATACTTTTGGCTTCTTAAGCTTTTCAGTTCTATGAATTTTGTCACTATATCTTCCCAGCAAGCCAAAATGCAGACCAATCTTTCTCAACAAGCAGGGGGCAAGGCAGCCCACGCTTTCAGAGAACCACCCATAGTCTAAAGCTATGGTGGGCTTAATCTTAAGCTGGACAACTGGCTGGACAACTGTTCTTTACTGAAAAGATACACCCCAGCAGGACTCTGAACAGCTTTCCCAAGCTCATCAAAGTTGCTTATACTGGTCCAGGTCTTGTTTGTGTTGGGGTTTTTCCTAAAAAGAGTCAGAATCCTGTGCAGGAGGTCAGAGAACTAGCTGACTAAGAGCTGATTAAAACAACTTGTCCTTCAGAGATTGTGAAACAGCTTAACACGTGGGCAGGGCCCTGGGATCTGGCACAAGAAGACACGCAGGCTCATTTCTTTTCCCAGGGCAGAAAGGGAGCAGGTGAGTGGAGTTACAACAGCCCTCATGAAGGTTTCTGGACAGAAGGTGACAAAGTTTTTTTGAAATAAAGGAGTGTCCTTTCATTTAACTTTCAAACGAGCACTAGAAAATGATGTATTTAAGCATTACACAACACTTGGACAGAAGGAACTGAGGTTCTCTGAACCCTTCCCAAATCTCAAGATAAATTTCAGTAGGTTCAGCGAGGGGTTACCAACATTCAGCAGTACTTCGAAGCAAAAAGCTTCACTTTCCACCCAGCTGCCAGCTGGCCGCCATGCTCACTGCCGTGCCCACCATATCTAAGGCTGCGGGAGGAAGTGGCCTTCCTTTCACGCCAGCGTGATCCCAGAGAAAGAGACGTCCCTCAGGCTGTAATGAATTTCCCCAGGCAGGCCTCACCCTGCAAGCGAATACATGCTTATTCAAATGACTTGAGAAGGAAGGAAGGGTCATCTAATCTCTTCTCGGGCTGATGCTGGGTGTTTGCTCATGTGCCTCTTCTGGAGGCCAGCTGTGGGCGAGTCACAGCTGCGGTTGGGGTCCCGGGTCCCCCCTCATGTATCCCAGGCCAGCAGACACGCAGCGTGGTAGACGCAACGCACAAAGACCCCACTGGTCCTTCCTCTGTGTTTCCGCCTCTCATCTTGTGTCTTGGCCACTCCTCGGGCTGAGAGGTTGAGTTTATGTTCCCACCTCTTGTGTTAACAGGCTGGGCTTCTGACCTGCTGTGGCCAACACCAGAGCGTGTCAGGAGCCGGAGCCTGCGCCTGTGGGCCTCCGGAGGCCTTGAGCAGCCTGGTGCCCTCTTCTGGAACCCTGCCCGTGAGAATAACCGGGGCCAGCCCATCGGGAAGGGAGCCCCCCACCCCTCAACGGACAGCACCCTCAGAAGCAGAGCCAGCCGGCTAACCTGCAGCTGATCCAGTCCACGCGAACACCGCCAGAGGAACTTGGCCGAGAGCACTGGCCCATGAGTTGCAAACCAAAGAAAAGGCTGTGGCCTCAAAGCCATGCCATTTCAGTGTGGTTCGTCACAGACCCCGAGCACAAGGTAAGTACTCACTCTTATCAGCCAAAGACAAAACGCCTTGGAGCACCTGAGGGGCTGCGGGGTGGGGAGCTGGGGGGCCGGGGGGCTGTAATTCTCCACATTAAACAACACACCTGAACTGCCACCAGCGAGAACAGGAATTAAGCCATGTATCTAGTGAAGGGCTTCAAGACAGACACAAATCCTTTGAAAGACTGTCTGTGGGTGAGCTGGATCTGCCTATGAAGTCATTCTTTGTTTCTTCTCTCTCTTTAAAAAAAAGTAAGAAGCTCTTTCACTCAATTAAGCCTGTTGGACTCGATTACAACTGTCTAGTTTGATTCAAAGCAGCCAGAGAGTCTCTGACACATGTTCAGCCTCCACGACTCCGTAGGCTGGAATTTTAAATCCAGCTCCCCTGAATTTATGACACACACACAGTAGCAAGTCCCCACAGGCTGAAAATCAAACTGTAATTCAAAGGCCACAGGGCTGAGGAAACAGCCAGAAGATAAATCCCAATTTCAACCTTGGATTCTCTGCAAGTTGATTCAGGGGACTGTCAGTCATATTTAAAAATAAAATAAAACTACAAAGACACCAGACGGCATGTTCTGAAGAGAAATAGGGTGATGCTTTTCAGGATGCCTTCAAAAGGCTCTTGTTACCTGAAAAGAACTGCTATGGGTTATTTTGAGGGCCCTGGAACATTTGGCTTCCATCAGTCATCTGGAGAAGTTTCTGCATTTTTAACTAATGAGCTATATAAGGAAGAAATGAAACCATCAAACACAGCCCAGGCCTCCAGGCTGACTGGAGAGGCCGGGACAGATGTCGAGGCGTCCCAGGCCTGGGCTGGCACTCACCTTGCAGCCCTCGCAGGCGCTGACCCCATAGTGGTACCCCGATGACTTGTCCTGGCAGACGAAACAGGGCTTGTACACGCGGGGCGGCGGGAGCGGAGACGGGGGGCTTGGGACCAGTTCCTCGGAGCTGGTGCTCTGGGTCTCAATCGCTGTGGCGGAGAGGCGGAGGGGGAGAAAGGCGAGAAAACAGTTTATTACTTTTTCCCCAGTGGGTTCACAGGCCTCCGCCCCCACTTCAGCTATAACATCGCCAGGACAGGCCCACAAGGCCAGCTGTCAGGGTGGGCACCGCAGGGGCAATCTACCTCTAACGTGAGTCTCTGCGGTTTACAAAGCAATCCAGCACGTCTCTCTCACTGGCAGAACACTTCGGCGCCGACAGGGAGGTCATGTTATCACCGTTTTACCCTCAAGAAAGGCAGCATCTCAGAGGAGCGCAGTGACTCATCCCAAACCGACAGGGCGGTGGTGGAGCCAGGACACAAAGTCAGATGCTCACACCGCACACCCCAGCTCTTTCCACTCCTGTTCCACCAGCTTCCGGTTTATTTAAGAGTCTCAGGAATGACCTGCGTGACCCTGCAGTAACTTAACCAAAAGTAAGTCTCCTCAGGGCAAAGGAAGACAATGCCCTAGCCAGCCATCCGTCCGACAGTGGCGTGGGGCCAGAGCCGAGCGTCACGAACAGTAATGGGGGCGAGATCTTTGCTCTTCAGGGTCCCCCTTGGACCAGCAGATCAGCATCGCGTCAGAGCCAATTAGAAAGCGAGGTCATCAGGATCCAGCTCAAGCCCATGGAGTTAGTGTGTGTGCATGCGCGCTCAGCCATGCCCGACTCTTTGCAACCCCTTGGACTGCAGCCCGCCAGGCTCCGCTGTCCATGGGATCTCCCAGGCAAGAATACGGGAGTGGGTCGCCATTTCCTCCTCCAGGGGATCTTCCTGACCAGGGATTGAACCTGGATCTCCTGTCTCTGGTTACTGGCAGGTGGATTCTTGACCACCGAGCCACAGTGGAGTCAGATCTGCATCTGAACCAAACCGCTGGGTGACTGAATGGACAAGCAATGCTTGAAGAGCACGGCACTGCATTAATAATGGCTCAGACTAATGCTGTTCTTTATTCTAGATTTACCAACAGGGGACCCCCATCTCATTATCTAACCATCCCAAATCCATGAGAAATACAAACTTACAGAATTTCGACCCCCAGTATTCTCCCATCCCCACCCCCCCAGATTTATGTTCAAAATCAAAGCAAAACAGGCCCTATATCTATTACAGGCAAAACTGCTCATAAAGGATGATGGAAGTAGGGAAGAGAGTGACTGAAAGTGGTCAAATAATGTTCTAGAATCTTCCAAGGTCCAACCACTTTACAATACTCAGTATATTTCTCAGAGTATTAAACTTCCCGTTGTTTCACTGTTCATCATCTCCCAGACCAGCTATTCTATTGACTGGATTGTCTTGTAGCCCAACTTTCAGCAAGTCAACTCAGCCCTCCTTCCTACACGTACTGCTCAACCATCCCTGTCTGAGATCCTACCACCAGGCTAGCCTAGTGATCAGCCAGCATCTCCCACCTCAGCTGCTGCAGAAGCCTCTGCACTGGGCTCCCGGGCCCGCCCTCTTCTAGCCTCGGGTCCATTCTGCAAACCCACAGTCAGACAGCCGCTGCAAAGTTAAGACCAATCCTCTCCCTAACCCCCACAAAGCCCTCCAACAGTCACTGGTGACAGCAAACTCCTTGCTATGTGTTCAGCAAGGCTCTTCCTGATATGGTGCCTTAGTGATGACATTGGATGCAATGATCATCCTCCTTGACTGACCTCTAAACACTTGCTTTCTGTTCCATCCCTTGAACAGGCCGAGCTCTGGTGTCAATTTTATGGGTATTACACTAAGCATTCTCTGTATCTGGAAATTCTGAGACCTTCATACGTCTCGTGGCTCTTCTCTCCTACATCTTAGAGCAGATGTCAGCTCCTCACAGAAGGCTTTTCTAAATAAAAGACCCCTTCCCACTCTTGGTCACTGTATCTCATTTTATTTTCTACAACACCCTAGAGTCTAAATTTAGAATGTCTGTGCACACCATTTTATATTCTGCCCATGCTACCCCACAAGTATGGATCTGGGAAAACCAAGGAACTTAGATGAATTGTTTACAACTCTGCTCCAGGCCTAGAAGAGGTTCTGGCACATCGTAGGTGGGTAATCGATAAATATTCAATGAATTAATACATGAGCTTTTCCACTTTTCCTTCTTTGTCTTCATTCCAAGCCCCAAATGCCCCTCTAAGTTGTTAAATGGTAAAATTAGAAACCAAATAGCTTTCAAATACTCATTTGCTTCCTTTAAAAGTAATTAATTATCCCTTTGGAAGAGAATCAACTATAATTATAGTATTTTCATAATTCAGAAGAATCTTGGAATGCATTCATTAGTGCTGCGCAGGTCTAGCAGATAAATCTAGTATAGTCTTCCCTGGGTAGCTTGGCACAATCGCAGCACATGTTGCATAGGAAGGTCACCATTTAAGATGTCACAAAAGCTCATCAGATCAGCTATCAAGCGACAGATACAAAAGGATGCCTCACACTAAGCTAATCGGCTTCACCGAAGGCAAATGAGTCATAATAGCATCCACAAGAAAACAGTACAAAATGATATATGCTGGGTGACTGAATGGACAAGCAATGCTTGAAGAGCACGGCACTGCATTAATAATGGCTCAGACTAATGCTGTTCTTTATTCTAGATTTACCAACAGGGGACCCCCATCTCATTATCTAACCATCCCAAATCCATGAGAAATACAAACTTACAGAATTTCGACCCCCAGTATTCTCCCATCCCCACCCCCCCAGATTTATGTTCAAAATCAAAGCAAAACAGGCCCTATATCTATTACAGGCAAAACTGCTCATAAAGGATGATGGAAGTAGGGAAGAGAGTGACTGAAAGTGGTCAAATAATGTTCTAGAATCTTCCAAGGTCCAACCACTTTACAATACTCAGTATATTTCTCAGAGTATTAAACTTCCCGTTGTTTCACTGTTCATCATCTCCCAGACCAGCTATTCTATTGACTGGATTGTCTTGTAGCCCAACTTTCAGCAAGTCAACTCAGCCCTCCTTCCTACACGTACTGCTCAACCATCCCTGTCTGAGATCCTACCACCAGGCTAGCCTAGTGATCAGCCAGCATCTCCCACCTCAGCTGCTGCAGAAGCCTCTGCACTGGGCTCCCGGGCCCGCCCTCTTCTAGCCTCGGGTCCATTCTGCAAACCCACAGTCAGACAGCCGCTGCAAAGTTAAGACCAATCCTCTCCCTAACCCCCACAAAGCCCTCCAACAGTCACTGGTGACAGCAAACTCCTTGCTATGTGTTCAGCAAGGCTCTTCCTGATATGGTGCCTTAGTGATGACATTGGATGCAATGATCGTCCTCCTTGACTGACCTCTAAACACTTGCTTTCTGTTCCATCCCTTGAACAGGCCGAGCTCTGGTGTCAATTTTATGGGTATTACACTAAGCATTCTCTGTATCTGGAAATTCTGAGACCTTCATACGTCTCGTGGCTCTTCTCTCCTACATCTTAGAGCAGATGTCAGCTCCTCACAGAAGGCTTTTCTAAATAAAAGACCCCTTCCCACTCTTGGTCACTGTATCTCATTTTATTTTCTACAACACCCTAGAGTCTAAATTTAGAATGTCTGTGCACACCATTTTATATTCTGCCCATGCTACCCCACAAGTATGGATCTGGGAAAACCAAGGAACTTAGATGAATTGTTTACAACTCTGCTCCAGGCCTAGAAGAGGTTCTGGCACATCGTAGGTGGGTAATCGATAAATATTCAATGAATTAATACATGAGCTTTTCCACTTTTCCTTCTTTGTCTTCATTCCAAGCCCCAAATGCCCCTCTAAGTTGTTAAATGGTAAAATTAGAAACCAAATAGCTTTCAAATACTCATTTGCTTCCTTTAAAAGTAATTAATTATCCCTTTGGAAGAGAATCAACTATAATTATAGTATTTTCATAATTCAGAAGAATCTTGGAATGCATTCATTAGTGCTGCGCAGGTCTAGCAGATAAATCTAGTATAGTCTTCCCTGGGTAGCTTGGCACAATCGCAGCACATGTTGCATAGGAAGGTCACCATTTAAGATGTCACAAAAGCTCATCAGATCAGCTATCAAGCGACAGATACAAAAGGATGCCTCACACTAAGCTAATCGGCTTCACCGAAGGCAAATGAGTCATAATAGCATCCACAAGAAAACAGTACAAAATGATATACCACTGTTGGCTAAAAATCTAGGGAAACAATACAAAATAAGCTACAAGGTTACAAGGAGCTTCCATGGTGGCTCAGTGGTAAAGAATCCACCTGCAACGTAGGAGATGCGGGTTTGATCTCAGGGTTGGGAAAGATCCCCTGGAGAAGGAAATGGCAACCCACCTAGGAAACCCCATGGACAGAGTAGTCTGCAGGGGTACAGTCTTTGGGGTCACAAAGAATTGCACATGTCTGAGCAACTTAACAACAACAACAAGGACTAAAAACAACAAGCATACAACATAGGGAACAGAGCCAGTGTTTTATAACTATAAATGGAACATAAACTTTAAAACTGTGAATAGTGTACGTCTAGCGTACACTTACACAATACTGGACATGAACTATATTTCACTCTTTAAAAAACCCAAGATACTGCTACTGCCGTCGTCACTACTGTTGTTACTGGGTGTCACTGATCCTGAGTCACCACTGATTATAAGATGCATAGTTATTCCACATTATCATTTAAGAAAGATAGGGTACTGCCAATTAAATTATGATCCATGAGTGCTCATGAGACACAGCCTGATTTCAAAGAAGTTAAAAAATTAAAAGCTTCTGGAGCCCTGGGTGGGGCTGGGGGGTAGGGGGAGAAAAAAATCTAAGAAAACAAACCCATATAGAATTACCCAGAATCCTTTCACTCGGAGAAAACTACTGTTATCTCGGCATCTGTCCTTCAAAACATTTCACCATGAATGTAAATGCTTTTGGTTTATTCTAAAAAGAGGAATTACACTGTAGATTCTGTTTGCAACTTTGTTTAACTTACTGTGTCATGAGTTTGTTTCAC